ACTCGAGATAGAGCGTAGATGCCAGGTAGCTCTTCATATCTAGCTTCTGATTAATTGTAGAGAAGAAAATCCAGATGACTTTCGTATTGCTTTAATATGGGTATCCGTGCCATCCCTACATAGAGAATGCTAGCGCGCACTCTCCGATAAGTTTAGACCAAATAAAGATCAAGATAAACGTATTTTCCTAAAAGTTTGGACCAAAGTAGACAAATTTCAAACAGATACGAGCAACAGCAAAAAAGATGTACCTTTCTTTTCTTAACAACCTCTTCCGTAGTACGTTGATTTCTCACCGCTCATCCTTTATTTTAAACTGAAATATACTAATCCGTAAGTATCATGTAGTAAATATAAAACGACGATCTTGTAATAAAATAAACCTACATGTTAAAATAATTCAATATAATTATAGGATATTCTATAATAAACTGTTATTTTTTTCTATCTAAAGCACAGTACATAGGGTGGTAATAGTGAGGACAACTATTGTTTTCAACCAAAGACACATTGGGCTATCTACTGTATCCACCGCGAGGAATCGAACCCCAGATTTTAACATTACAAGTCCTTAAACTTACCGCTGTTCCAACGGGGAGATAATGAGGACAAAACCAAAATAGAAGTGACCATACCTCTTTAATTAAGCATTAAGATTGAGAAGATAATTGTAAGTGTAATGAAAAAAAGAAACTCTGAAACTACTGTACGCCTGATACACTAATAATGTTTGAAAGACATTTCCTTGATTGATAATAAATGCTGACTAACTTACTGATAAGCTTAAAGACGCACTAAGTCTTAATGATTAAATGTTTCGATTAACAATTACTTGATCATTAACACACTCAATACTTCACTAACCCTCAGTCACCGAACTAACTACTACTCGTATTTATAACTTACGTATTTATGTCGAGATATTAGCAGAGCACACTAAATTCTTGGCATCATTGTAAATTTATCAAGGTATTCTAAGACTATTTTTATAAACTTACTTGAGCTTAATGTCATGCGCCCTCTAGCAAAACAACTTCTAAATTAAAACTATGAAAATATAGTTTCAACAGTAAGATTTTGAATTTCAACGGTAAATGAGGAAACATTCACACGATAAATATATATGCATAGTGTATCGTGATAGAAAATTGTTCCATAACTATAGCCTTCAAAAAATAAGGGTAGAGAGTAAGGGTTTAATATTCTTTTGTGAATTAACGTTTTGGTGTTTTAATTTACACGTTTGTACTGTTTGTTAGAGGGGGGAGCTGATGTGTAACGCCTAGACATCTCTTGAGGGTCTAAATTTGATGTGTCGTCTCGAATTTTCTAGAGACTGGTGGGAAAATATTCTAATAATATAATAACATGAAAAGTGAGTTAGGTGAGTTACCTGAAGATGGCCACTAGAGCGGTCGAAACATTGTAATAAAGTTAAATACAAATAAATAATCCACTCAAAAGCTGTACCCCTGGATTTGCTTTTAAAGTACATAGCAGATTTACTCACCTCAAAACAATTGATAGACGTGCTTAGAACACAATTAAATAAGCTGTTTGTTTTTATCGTCACATTACTACTTATTTTATCGTCACATTACCACTTATTTTATCGTCACATTACCACTTATTTTATCGTCACATTACCACTTATTTTA